AACCAAGAAGAGGAAAAAAGCATAACTGAAGAGACAATACAGGAGGCTGGGTAATTTCAGTAAGCACAGTAAACTTTGCATTAATGCTCAGGAAAGAGAAGTAATGCAGCACAGCCCATGATCAGCTCCCTAAATTAACATCTTCCTAAACTGGACAGAATTAAAAAGGGTTTATCCACTCCCTCAGTATGACACAATGTTCTTTCCTGACTCATCTGACAATATCACAGCCACTTGTGATATCTGATAATATCACAGCCATTACTACCTTTTTGTAATATAAGATGCCCCTGTAGTGGCAGATGTAACCATTTCCGTATTTACATATTGTTTTGAATGGGAAGAGAGAAATCAGACCTGAGAGATCATAAAATCATTTCTAGTACCTTTTCCAACCGTGACCAAGTTTGCAAATCGAAACTGATTTATAGAAATCTCTTCACAGTGCCTGACAAACAGCTTTTATGAACACTCTCTAGCTTGAGTTGGTTGTTAGTAATTTCTTCAGATTGTATTAATGGTTCACTACTCACACTCTACAATTTGCCTCTCTATTTACAGGCTGTTTTGTGTTTTCCAGTTGACTAGAATCTTTATACATAAGAGAGCAATAAAATTACAGTGAACAAAAAGTTGACTGGTATCAATAATCAAATTTGTATTTCATGCTAGCGTGAATCCTGAAGGTTTAATTGCTTCCCCCCAAAATCCACCATACTGCTCACAAACAGCAGATTTGTCCTTTACAGATTCTTGCTCTGCACTATTGCTTCAGGATACCTGTTGCAGCTATAGGTGATACTTCCTATCCTTGTTTCAGGATTCTAATTCCTACTTTATTTTATCCCAAATTACAACACAGCAGTGTTTTTTCCCCTCTAGCAGTAGTGTGGCAGTCCTGGAGAAGCTTAGCTGCTTATGCAGCTACAGATTAGGAATAGGTCTTGTAAAGCAACACCTCTCTTGCAGAAAGGTTTTAAGAACATATATACACACATTTTCACTGCTTTGGATTGAATGGGCTACCTGTAACTGGCAAGATGAGAAGTTTATGTACAGACATAACATACAGACATACAGCTGGAATGTTCTTCAGGTGAGCTGATACAACTAAAGCCATTATATTATTGCACGTTTTTTCTCTGGTGGAGGGAGAAATAATTCTATTACTTCTGCATATTTAGTATTCCTTTTAACAGATGTTACACCAACCAACAGCAAATCATCATCTCAACAGCCCACACATTTTAATGGTAATATTATCCTCAAATATGGACACAAAGCAGTTAAAAAACCCCAAATTGTTTAGCACCCATCCTATGCTGTTGATATTTTTAAAACATAAAGACATTTCCTAACATCAAGATCACTACAGAGTGTCACCAATGTATAAAGCCATAGAGGCTTTCAATTTCTTCCACCTTGTTAGCATTCTTCAGATTCTCCACAGACTCCCAAAGGCCAATCAAAGCCATCTTGTCCATCCTTTCCATGTATATCCTGAAGTGCTCTCGGTATGAAGGGTTGGCCAAAATTTCTTCAAACTGAAGAATCTGAAGAAGAGAAAACTAAGAATAAAAACTGGGAAAATGCCAAATTTGGCTCCTTTCCATCCCTTATAGGAAAAATCTTTTCACTTGGTGTGCCCACAGTGTGCTATGCATCCCACAAACATGTCCTAGATTCAACTACACAGACCTCCTACTGTAATAGTTTTGCTTTTAAAAAACAAAAAAAAAGTTTCAATTCCTTAGAAGTTAAATTAATCTTCTATCAGATAGTAAACACCTCCACTTTTTTCTGATAGGATACATTTCAAAGGACTAAGATGGCATTACAAGTCACTCATGAAATGCTATTGTGAAAAATTTACATTGCCATGTTCCTGCCAAGCAGAGGAGCCAAGCTGAAAGCTAACTGATCCAGTCTTTATTTGTTTCAAACACCAGCAGTTTTAATACCACAGCCCACAGAGCTCTGAGATCTATTTCAGTTATTCCCAGGGACACAGAGAAAGATGAAATACCTCGGCAGCTAGGGCATTTGGGTGCCAGTTCCTACTGTTATTGAAAAACATCTATCAGAAATGCAGGCAGGAAAGAGTATGGTCTGTGATATAACACTCAGGACTTCTCCTGAGAAGAGTGAGGATGGTGTACATCAGGCAGAAAAGGAAATGAAACACAGACATGCCATTCCCAAACAGTGCTGCAGCCATTAAGAAGTTGCATTGGAAAGCCATTATCACTCCCTTATCCTCTACTATTCTTGTAAATCCAGGCCTTTTCTTTGAGACAAACACCTGAAAATAAAGCACCTCCCTGACAAAATGATCAGAGCTACCCATGCTGAACAAAATGAATAACCTTGTCTTTCTCTGAAAAATACAATAATTTTTCCAAATACCTCAACAAAACCAAGCAACCTTTTCTCTGCCACCCTTCAGTCTCACACCTGAACCAGTTTTCATGCCACTTATTTAGTGCCATTACTTACATCACCAGGAGTCCAAATACACTACCCAGAGTAGTATTAACCTATTGCTTTGTTTCTCACAGACACCAACCAACTCTCAGCTTTGTCTCTGAAAAGAAAAAAAGGTCCTTAAGCACTGGGGCTAATGACTCTTCCTATGATTTTGCATTTTACAGCAAAGTTTATTTGGTGTGGAGCAAGATGTGAACTCAGACATTGAGACATTAATAATTTCTCTAATACGGGTTTTCTGATACCTTACACAATTCTAGTCACCATCAGAATTTCTCCCTCTATGGGAAGACCACTTGTTTTCCTAAACCTAGTACCTATGATCAAGTTACATATGGGAAAAACATTTCCTGGTCTCAAACTACACGTGAGGATACCACCTACATGGGCACATAACACAATTACTGGCACCAAATCAATTCCTTAATAAACCAAGTGGTTCTGTAACAACTGCAGTCCTCTATGTTCCATTTGAAACTGCTCCCCCAAATTGTGGACAGTGTTTAACTAAATTATGTTTTTCTCATGTGAAATGCTCATTTACATCTTCAGAGTTCCCCTGTGACAATCACGTGCCACCCTTTTTTCATCCTTAACCACACCAACATCTTCCGGACATGACTTTACTCTTAGATTTAGAACTATTCAGAAATATGAACATCTGCCTTGAGAGCTCACTCTGTAATCCTCACTGAACAGTGGAGAATACCCTGATCAAGCTAAGCTTAATACTGAGCTGGCGAGCAGGCTCTCAAAGTGAACAACACAGACATGGCAAATTAAAGGCCAGTCTGTGGGTTGGCCTCGTTGCTGTGCATCATCATATTTTCTATTCAGTCATTTTATCCAGAGCAATGATTTAAAATGCAAGGGTAAGACGGTCTTCCAGCCCCTTGAGCAGATATCTTCCCCATCTCAGGGACTGTCAACTCTGTAAATAATAGCAGGGTTAATAAATCACAACATGGAGCACGTGCTGTCACTTGTTGAGTGAGAGGTCCCCGTGGTCTCTATGCCTCTGTTACCCAAGGTAAACCCACTCAGGCTGCCAGAAAGAGGGTAATGAACAAGCAAGCCCCTCTCCAAAGTAACTGGGGCTGAGTGCTGCAGCAGGGAGCAAGGCGAGTGCAGCCACCTCTCCTGCTTAACAAAGGGCCCACTGCACCAGCGTCCCATGGTAATCAAAGCACTGGTGCCTAGCAACAGTGTTAGGTAAATCTCCTAATAGATACCTTGTAAACTAAAATACTTTAATATATAAATTAATGGGAAGAAAAGCTTATTCTTTTGCAGAAATGAGACTTCTCAAATGTTTTCTTGATTTTTCTTTAAGTCTGGACTATTCTGGAATTATGTAAAATGCTACAATTGCTGTACTAAAAGCATTATGTTACATCTTCAATACCAACAATGATAGACACAATGGGATTTTAGTTTTGAGGTAAAAATCATAAAATGCATGTGTAATGGTTTAGGCTGGAACAGAATTAACATTCTTCAGAGCCTGTCAGGAGCTGTGTTTTGGATTTGTGCTGAGCACAGGGTTGATAATATAGAAATGCTTTTGTAATTGCTGGACAGGGCTTACCCAGAGCCAAGGCCTTTTCTGCTTTTTGTACAGCCACACTGGAGAGGAAACGGTGTATGGGAGATCTGGAGGAGACACAGCCGGGACAGGTGACCCCAGCTGACAAAAGGAATATTCCAGACTATATGGGAGCATGCTCAATATGTAAATTGGGGGACATTTGGAGTGATGGTGTTTGTTTTCCGAAGTCACTGTTATGTGTGAGGGGGCCCTGCTCTCCTGGTGATGGATGAACACCTGCCTGCCCATGGGAATCAGTGAATTAATTGGTTTGCCTTGCTTGTGTGCATAGCCTTTGCTTTCCCTCATCAACTGTCTTTATCTCAACCCATGAGTTTTCTGGCTTTTACGCTTCTGAATCTCCCCCCAATCCGGCTGATGGGGGAGTGAGTAAGTGGCTCTGTGGGGCTTGGCTGCTGCCTGGGGTGAAACCACAACAGTCCTTTGTGGCACCCAACTATTCTGTGGAGCTTCCTTCCTTTTACAATTTAAGAAGAACCTCTGCAGTAATTTGTAATCCTCACCAAAGGATCATTTTATGATTCAGTATCACCGTGGATTAGAGCACAAAAGTCTAAGCTATGTTGACACATACATAGGCATTAGAGCATGTGTACACCCTCAAATCTAATATGCAGTTACCAGATATAATCTTAGAATTACCAGCCTCCACAGCAACCCTTCAAATCCTTTTAACTCGAGAGCAGCTTCTGGGTTTGGAAAAACAAGAAGCTTTATTCTTGCCACATCAATTCTCTCCTTCAACAGGAATGTCATTTATATACCACAGCTGGTCACAGGCTCTGCCTAAGACTAGGAAGGGGTTAGGTTTTTCTGGTATCCTTTTTTGGGTTTTTTTTTTTTCCCTAAGTGAAGTGCTTTAATCAGCGTCCCTAGCATATGCATACATAAGAGACTTATCCCTGGCCCTACAAAACAGAAACTTGGCCTTGGTAAATCCCTAAAGATAGCCACAATCTCTATCTGACAGGAGCATAGAACAAATGATTAATTTAGGTCTGCACAGGCACCAGGTACAGAACAGATGCACTGTGCTGTATTTCTTTGCAACACACCAGGTTCCCATTCTCTACAATCACTTTGACCTATAACAAACAACACCCATAAAGTTGGTACCAGCACTACAGATGGTTGGTATGAACAGCATTTGGGTCATTAGAAGTTTTCTTCTGGGATAATGGCACACAGACTGTGGGAGTTCTGGTTCTTGATATGTTTCTTTTTCCTTTTTTTTTTTATTTGTAGAAGACAGGAATAAGTGGAATGCAAAAACCAATACTGAAAAATACCTTATTACAAATTGTATTTTTAAAACCCCTTATCTAATGCTTTGTCTGTACATTGACTAAAATTAAAGTCTATATTCACCTTGTTATATTTTAAAAAGAGGCAAGTCATCAGAAGACTGTCTCTGTCACATACAGCAGCAGCTGAACATATGATTATTTAAGCATCAGGAAGTATATACTAACGACATAAGGTACCTGATATTTTCTGCACAGACTATTTTACTTTACATACATAATGTAGAAGTCCCTGCCTTGAAACTCAAGGTTGATCAGCACAACAGGAAAAAAACCATTCACTGAATGTACACAGATAACAAGAGTTCAATTACCGCAGTACTGTGCAGGCACAATTTCTAGGAAAAAGGACTGAAACTGCACTATTAAGAGTTGCTTTATATATTACACTACTTCAAACCGCATTTTCTCTGAAAACAAATCTAACACCATAGGCAGAGATTAAATCAGGGTCAGAGGTAACGAAAGATATCAGATTCAGAGAGCAGCTGTGGTTTCTCTGTTTGTTTATAAGCATTTGATTATAATTCATGTATTTACGATTTCCACAGAGAATCTGGATTCAGGAAAATTAGGTGCATGAAGCATGCACAATATCTAATAAAACCAGAAGACTGCAATGTTTTGTCTAACAAAACATTGACAGCTCCAAATAATCCATCTCCCATCTAAGCCCTTAATCAGAACATGCATTAAAGATTTTTATCAGCAATGCCATTACTCCCCTACTGCTGCAGTCAAGAAAAAGCTTTCTATAGGATGCACTAGTTTGGCTCCCTAGTCAACTCTGTGTTCAACTAGTACCAAAAATTCCCCAAAGCTAATAATGTATTCAAGCTTCTGTACTACAGTTACATTAAATATTAGTTCAAAGCACCATCACTACATGCCCATTTCTGACCTGTTCCATGCAATTTGAAGAAAGGAAGGCAAACTTACAGTTTCTTTTACAAAAACTAGTTATTCTGCAACTTAGATGCTACCTTAACAGAAAACTGGCACAACCATACTCTAAGGAGTCTAAGGGCCACCAGCTGCAACATACCAGTATCATACTAGCTACTAAATCCCAAACAATGCTTTTCCCTTTTTCTTGGAAAAAAGCCTGAGTATTCAATCAATACTGCCCAAATAGGAGGGGCCAACACCCAAAATAACACTGGCTGCCTTGAAAAAAGAACACAGACTGAAGCTACCACAGTGCTAGAAGAGGATGGGAAGAAGCAACAGTGAAGACAGACCGCTTCCTCAGCTAAGCCCTGGGCATTTTTCTGTGCTCAGAAGGAGACAGCATGGCCTCCATCTCTTAATCAGCCTCCTTCAGCTTCTTTCATGGCAACGAAGAATTGGGGACAACAGAAGAGAGAAGCAGTTTTTCTATTTTCTACACTGACATGGCTGTAGAGGTGTTCTAGGGCTTCATCACAAAAACATCAAAAGCTTAGAGGCCAAGCTCCCTCAGATTCCATTGTTTTCACCATTACCACAATAACTGTCTGTTCAACAACTCATTATTCCTATTAGTACAATTAACTCAGTATTGAGCTGCTTATTGATATATTTGCAGGATAGAGCCCCAGGTCCCACCAGCAATTCCCACCAAAAAATAGCAATTCCCACCAAAAAAACCCCATAGGTTTATAGAACATGCAACATGAACGTCAGAAATTCCTTTGATTTTAACAATAATACTATATTTTATTATGTTCCTCACCAATCCCTGTCCCTATCAAGGGCATCTTCATGACGGTACTCCACTCTTGAACACCCTTATGTCACCGTGTATCTATTCAGAGAAGTTCATAACATCTCAGCAGGCATCAAAAGTGGCATCACTGGCTCATGCAGTGCTGCCACATGCTTCCCTCTTTCTTTTTCCCCTTGGCACCTCTCATTACACCCAACTTCAGGAAAGAGATCAGGACTGCCTTGGCACAGTCTATGACACACTATCTGAAGTCATGCTTTAAGGATAAGAGAGAAGTAGGGAATCCTTCTGTTTCAGGTCTTACTCAAGAAAAACATCACACTACTTTTTCTGAAAGAAGAGATAAGCTATTTTCTACCTACATTTAAAACATTAAAAATCCTTTCACATTTGAATACATCAGCTACCGTGCTTTGCCCAAAGGGAACAGAGCAGGTTACAAAAGAAGTCACTAGAATTTTTTAAGATTTTCAAGGCTAAGTAGTCATTTTATTTTTGTATATGCTGGCCAACACAACAAGTAATTACTTCTAATTCCAGATTACAGAGATATTGAAAACCAGCATCCAGTCAGCAGCTTTATCAGAGTTTTTCTGCAACAACTGCCCTGAATTTTGTCAATTGCCTTCCGTAAGTGTTTGCTTTTGAGTAATTTAATTTAGTGTTTTCCAAACCCACACATATTTTCTTAAGTAAACATAACGAGGGCCAAAGAATTATTGCACATATGCTGGCAACTTGAAAGCAAGTTGCTGCTTTCATAAAGGCTGCTACCATGTCCTTATTAGCTCCCTGCATGTGGTATGTCTGAAAAGTCACACGTGCTTACGAGCTACTCGATCCTTTAGGAAATTTCACATTGAGCAATATTCCAAGCTGAGCAATCAATGTGTCTCCTCAGGTACTTCAATAATCTTTTCCCAAGATAAATAAACTATGCAGCAATTAATTTGTACTTGACTCCTGGGGGAAAGGAGGGATTAATGACAGTGCAGTAACTTGATTCAGTGCTAACACATTTCAAATGACCTTCAGACAATGCAATTTATACCTTCTGACTCGGAGGCCCATCGCTTTCATCAGAAAGGCCATCTTCCTGCTGATCATAAGCAGGCCCTCCCAGGAGCCTTATTCTCTTCTCACACTGCTTCTTTGCCACCGTCAGCTGATTAATGTACCTCTTCACATTGCGAGCTCTTAGTAGGTCAGCTTTCATTGCTGCAGTCTCTTTTCCTTTTGAATCTGAGAATAAAACAAATCAGAGACAGAATTTTACAACATGAAAACATCATTGTACCATTGCCTGTGTGACCTGTCTGATCAAAGCATCCGTCATTCATGAATCAACTATGCTCATCAGTACAGATACTGGCAGGGTTGTATTCGAAACAGAATGATGATTTTGAAACATTCTGCAATGATAACTCAAGGGTTTACACAAAAGAATTGAGGGAAAAAAAATCCCTATTCAAATACATAGTGAAATCCAACCCCTCCAGCTCTTTTTTTATAGTTTACAGAAGACACAGCCCAAGACTTCTGCTACAGGATGTATTGTACATTTATCAGATAATGCTAGGAAAGTACCAACAGCCATGGCATATGATAACATGGAGCTGATGGCCTATGAATCTTACGAACATAGCATTGACTGTCTGGAGTCATGAGGGACTGGGCTCTATCCCCCCCAGCCCAGCATGACACATTCTCACACATCTTATTTGCAAACCCAAACTTCTTGTGCCTGATGTGAACAGCATATCATACAATATTCCCTCCAGACAACTGGCGAAAGTTCACTCAGAATGGTCAGATGACCAAGAAAAAAAAACTTATAATGCCACGTCAAGACTGCACAGTACTGTTCAAAAGTAAAGTAACATGAAGATGACAGTCAGCTGAATAAGACTTAGCCAGTGTAATGTTCGTGTATCCTACATTCTAGCCTCTTCAGCTAATTACCAGGGTCTAAAAAAAGAAGGAGCAGATAAAGCAGATATAAAACCCTATTGTGTGGTAATCATGTTTAATATCTTCAGGATGCAACTGATTTGCATTTGTACATTGGTTTTATTTTCCTCTTGTTCAGTGATAACACTCATGCTTTTTTGGGCTGCGATTATTACTCAGTAGCAAAGAACTTGGCTTGTACTTGGCTCCGGATTATTTGATTGCTCAGGGATAAATAGTAAAAATCTATTCTACTGTGTCTGCAAAATATTAAAAGCTTGCAAAATCATGTCGGTAAAACAGCATTTGCTTTTCTAAACAGTTGCTGTTAAGAAACAACTACATAGTTAGGTTTGTGAATGCATACACAGCAAAAAGGAAATCCCTCAGAAATTATTTAAAGTACCTATTTTAAACAAGTTTCCAATACATTATGGCAACTTCTCTTTTTACAACTGTTCTCACCCTTTTACTTCCTCCTCAAAGCTACATGTAAGTATTGCATGCAACTCTAAGTTTTGTCATTTACATACTGAAGGACAACTCAAGGAACATGGAGCTCCCTGAAGTTCTACACATAACTGAGTCCAGATATTCTCCCATTATCTTTTCCCATATTTTTAATCTCACTTTATTTGCTGCATGTATCTATGTGGGTAGGGATGCTTTCTGATATAAATACTCTTAGTATTTTAATGGATGAGCATCATTTGCATATGAGCTGCCATGTAATAGTGATACTCACTGAAGCAAAAAAAAAAAAAAAAAAAAAAAAAAAAAAAAAAAAAAAAAAAAAAAAAAAAAAAAAAAAAAAAAAAAAAAAAGCCATCTGTTTTCCTGGCATGTTATCTCCACAGAGAAGTCAACAGAGCATTTAATTTTAGTGTTTCAGTTCCCTAAACAGAGTATCAGTATTAATGGGAGAAAAGGAAAGGAAAAGACCTTAAGGATAAAAGAATGTTCTCCATCAAATCAAAACATTTACAGCTATTACAAATACATGAACTGGAGTTTGAAGTGAACATTAAACCTCAACATTTTCCCTGCTGCACTTGACTCTAAGATGATTTTTTAGAAGAATTCTTTAAATAGTTTAAGTGCTTTGGGCTCAAAATGCATATTTGAAATCCCACTTTTGAAAACTCGCAAACAGTAGTATGCAATGATTATTCAGCCTTCTTCAAACCAAAGTACCCTTCTTGATAGAATCAAGGCATTCTTGAAGGGTTTTCAAAGTAAGCATGTCTACTTTACCTGAAGTCTTATCATCCTGTGATTGCAGCAGACTCCCAGGAGAGATTAATGAGCCTACCTGTTTCCAGTGATTAATTTCTGTCTTAACAGAGATCCTTCAAAACCATTTACCTCAGCTCTTCATACCCCAAAGGAGCCAGTCCACCCAAAAATCACTCAGGGCAGTGATAAAGATCACACTGCCAGCCTGTTCCTGCTCCATGGATAAACAGGACTAGTCACGGTGAAAGCCTGGCAGTGACATCCTTCACAAATAAACACGAGGCTGATGGAGAGCAGAGCAGCACAGAACGTGGCCAATGTGCTACAGCGCAGGAAACAGAGCGTGGAAGTGTGAATAACGCTGAGCATCACTTCCCTCTTCCAAATTATGAAAGATAGGCCAGCAAAAATCAGGAGGAGCACTTTCAGCTCAACTAGAGCAGGTTAGGTGGATCACTGGTTTTCTCCTAGCCTTAATCAGCTTTTGAGATTTTATGTATTCTCAGATCTAAACTGCTCTGCTTTTTTCACATTAAGCACTATCAAAAAGATACTTTAAGTTGTAAAGACTTTTCTTTTTAATCTCTTCTTGTCTGATTCCACCATTACTAAAACACTGTGAGAGAATTAAGAGTGCTTTTTGCCATTTCTGAGTATCAGCAAAGATGATGTTTGCTATATTCAGGTATCTCTGCATAAACCAAATAAAATCAGAAGGGCACAAAAGGAAAGGCTTGCATATATTCCCACACCCTATGGCAAGTTTCAACAAATGGAAAAGAAATAGATACATGCTACTAAGGCACAGTTTCACTACAATGCAAGGGGGAAAAAAACAGGCTTTGAATAATACTTTTTTTAACTAGTAATGACTTTATAGTTTGGGTATTTTTTCCAAAAGAATATTATTAAAAACAAACAAAAATCACTCCTCATCAGCAAGACAAGAAATATGCTACTTTGGCACTTCCTCCCCACAATCTGGACACATGTTTGCCAGCAGTCACTGAGCAGAGCTTCCATCTCCTAAGGAGCAAAGTGTCTTTTATTAACTTCCTTCAAAAGAATTCTCATTATCTGGGGAAATTTTGACAGGACATGCACTGCCATGGAGGAACTTCCAAACCCCAAAGGGATATTTGTGCACCTCTCCTAACACAAAGGAAACCAAATATAATTAGTACCAAAAGCAGAATTTCCAACTCTGCTTATCAGTCCTCAGTTGTGGGYAATTCAATTTGCACCACACAAGATTAAAATGCAAATGGTCCAAATGAGCTCAAACCTACCAAGTAATCAAAGCTATGCTACCTGTGCAATTTTTTTATTCAATGTATTTTTGCACATCTGCAGTGATTTCTGACAAAGCTTCTACATTTTCCTTCAAATCACTCATAACTATCTCAATTTGAGCTAAGCTACAAGTATAACCCCAGTAGCATACCCTACAGCCCACCAAAACAATTGCTGAAAAGTGATTCCTCACACCTAATTTTCTTTCCTCCTTTTTTTTTTTTTCCTGGTGGTTTTGCTGCTTGAGCAGGTTTATTTGTATTAAATACATCAAACTGCAGTACATATTCACACCACCCATTTTTCAGTCAGAATGCTGGGCCTTCCAAATAATCATCATACCAAAAAAATGCCACACAAACTTTATTACCCTTAAGCACACTGAAGGATAGACAAAAATAAGCTAGATTTGCATAAAATGCAAACTTAATTGTGTTTTAGACCTGCATGATCCATGCCATCCGCTGCCTGTGGTCCAAGCAAAGGGAAAACCAGCTCTACTGTGGCTGGACAAGAGATTGAGTAAAAAAGATGCTAAATCCCAAACACATCTTGGCGGAGGGACTTACAGACCATGGACAAGTTAGGCACTGATCATCAGCAATGCATAGCACAACACAGCCTCCCACGCACAGTCACAGCTGAGCAAAACAAAAAGTCAAGTGGCAGGAAGGTAAATGTGAGCAGTAAAATTATATTCACCACAGATAGCCTCTGTCTGTCAGTCCTTGCATCCCCTTTGGTCACATCTACCTGACCAGTCAGCCTCTTCCCTCCCTCTTCCACTGATCAGCATCTCTCCAAACCCACTGAGGATAAGATGCACTACCATCACTAGCAGACACAAAGGATCTCAGGAGCAGAAAGACAATTTTCCTCTATGAACTTGATTCGAATATCACAAATAAAAATGAATAAATGTAGCACAGTCAGAATCCATAGCTTTTACCCTCATCCACGTGGATTCTCTCCACACTTACTGCTTGAGTATGACATGCAGGCACAATGTTAGCTCTTCAAGCCTTGCCAGAAGACTGTGCAAAAATAACTGTATATGAATGTTTATTCCTGTGTGGAGGATGCAGGTCAGGGGGAGGAATCGTAATACAGTTTTGACATAATCAAGTTACACGGCATCTGTAACCCGCTGGAACACACAAATACCCATTTCACTTCACTTTAAATTATCATCTTGACAAAACCCACACATCACAACCCACATAACCTAACTATCCTGGAGCCCCAGGGTTTTTTTAAAAAGTCCCTTTCTACAGCTGAGCATTCAAGCCTCTGTCAGAACCACAGCACCTGAGAGGCCTGTACACAGAGAGTTCTGCTTCTGTGCCACTTGTCAGCTTTGCTTATAAAAGCAAATATCTAGACACACAGTGGGAAGGCTCAGCAGGAGGAATCTGCTGCTGCAACGTGGCAGATCCCTCCACGCAGAAATGGCTGCTTATCCAATCTGTCTCGTAATCCCTGCTTGAAAATGAGCAGTTTTCTCAACAGGGATGCCCTGGGGTTGATTACACTGTAGTGTCTGAAAAACAGTCCCAACCAGTCATCCAAGGGTATTCCCAGTCATGCTGTGAAGCAATGTGTAAGGTAGAGGACATAGAAAAATAAAAGGCAAATCAAACAAATCCCTTTAAAAAAATCCCTTTAGAAAAAACATCTGTTGAGAGACTTTGCTCTGTATTGCCCTAAGACAAGGTAACGTCTTCATGCATTTTTGGGTTTGTTTTAAAAAGGAGTTAGTAAAAGAGATCCTTGCTAAAATTCTTGTAGGATCCTGTAATACAATATCATTATGAGGAGAGACAAAAACATTTCTGTTAAAATTAGAATCAGTGTACTTTAACATGTTACAGCAAATATCAAGTTATTACAGGAACTTTATAATAAACTTCTGTTTCTTTTTCCTGTTTTTGAAACCTTTTCTTTACAAAAATAAAGATTTACTCTTGCTTCTAGAAAGTGGCATATCATCTGTCATTCATGATACAATGCCCAATCCAGGTATTTGTCCTCTTACAAACTGCTTTATTAGATCAAAATGCAGCAAACATTTTCAGATAAATAATTTAGAGTCCTTCAAAATCTTTAGCAGAGAAGCTAAATTTTATAAAAAAAAAAAAAAATTAAAAAAACCAGCCACGAAACAACTAAAATACTTAAAATTTAGCTTAAATTTGAATTTGGTTCAGTACTTAGAAGGACTCCTTGTCAAAAGGTAAGATGAGGAGACTGTTTACAGTTAAAGGTGTAGAAGGATGTGATTCTTCTAACCATAGCACGTGTGACTGTAGAGAGGGGAACCATCTGAAAATACCAATAGGAAGGAAAACCAAACACAAGTTAAAAAAAAAAAGAAAAAAGACCAACAAAACAAAACTACCACCAAAACCAAACAGCTTCCTACTCCTGCTGCTTGAGTGATCATGATTATTTTGGAAGAAGATACCCAGGAAGATACTGTTGGAGAAGTAAGGCAGATACATGTACACACCAGCGTCAGTGCTTTTGGGCCAGTGTAGATGAGGGAAGTAGTGCAATGTCAGCTTGCAAGGTAACAGCTTCTGTTTACAGTGGCCTGCACTGCTCCAAAATAAACAAATCTACACTTCTGGAAATAATAATGCTGTGTTGGGTTTCTTGTTCAACTTTAGCAATGGCCAAAAGCAATTCTCATGGCCACAGAAATTTTATCATCCACTCACAACTGGCATCATACTGCAAACCTCTCAAATTACTTTATCTCAACTTTTTAGACCTTTGACTCTCCCACAGAGTCAAATGTAAAACTTACTGCTTAACATGAATCAGATGCTTTTTTATGTTTTCATTTGCTCTCTTATGCTCACGTGCCAGAAGATTCAAATATAGAAATCTGAAAAGAAAAAACCCTATAACATGCCATTTTTTAACTACAGAGGGTTTAATACAATGATGTTTAGAAGTACTTTAAAGCACTTTCTGATTTTATAGAGCTAAATATTTTGCCAATAGGTGGCACTAGTTAAATCACGTGTAAAGAACCCTGTCCTTACTGAGGAACAAGCCTTTCTTTCCAACATTAAATCCGTACTTTGGTATTACCAGAAAAAATAGTAAAAAGGTCAGGTAACTGTAGCTCCTATGAGAAGTCATCAGTCCGAAACCTGGTCCTCAGGTTACTTATCCTTTAATAGTAGACTAAAGACCTAATATTTTCTGGAAAAAAAGAAGTGTTTTTGGTCAGTTTTAGAAACTTTATTTTGTCTCCAACCAATAGTGAAGGTCCACAATCCTGCTCAGGCATATTTATTGCTAGCCTTGCAGTTGTACAACCTTTCTTTTGCTAAGCAAAGGATGAAGAGGAGCGAAGCACTCACTACTGCAGAGTTTTGGTCACTCATGCTACACTAAATGCTCCTCAGGTTTTTTGTTACACCTTTTTCTATTGGAAACATTGCCTCAGGAAGCTCCCATAATTCAAACTGATGGAAGCTGAGACCACTCTCATGTGGGACCTCACCTGGAGTACTGTATCCAGCTCTGGGGACCTCAGCACAGGAAGAGGTTGGAGCAGATCCAGAGGAGGGCCATGAGGATGATCTGAGAGATGGAACACCTCCCACAAAGAGAAACGTTGAAAGAGTTCAGCCCAGGAAAGAGAAGGCTCTGGGAAGTCCCAATTGCAGCCCTCCAGTACTTAAAAGAGGCCAGCAAGAAAGATGGGGACAGACTTTTCAGCAGGGCCTGTTGTGACAGGAGAAAGGGGTAATGGTTTTAAACCAAAAGAGGGTCAATTTGGATTATACAAAAAAGACGAGTGTTATAATGAGGGTGATGAAACACTGGAGCAGGCTGCCCAGAGAGGTGGTACATGCCACATCCCTGGAAACACTCAAGGCCAGGCGGGTGGGACTCTGGGCAATCTGGTGCAGTTGAAGATGTACCTGCTCATTGCACAGGGGCTGGAGTAGATGACTTAAAGGTCCCTTCAACCCAAACCACTCTATGATTCTACAACCATGTACATAGTTCTACACTTGCTCTACCCTTACAGTTCGGGAGTGGACATGAGGCTCAACAGAATGCTGGCCAGACAACGTTCAGCTGCTCTAGCTGAACACCCAGGCACTAAAGAAGAAGTTACATTTCCAGGACCCAACTTTGCACAGGAAAAGGAAATAGCTACCAGTAAGACTATCTGTCACCAGGCTGGAGTCAAATCTAAGAGATCCCCATGACATAGAAGGCAAGTGCTCCTTTACTAGCAGCAGAGGAGACACTGTCATATGCATCCAACTGCTAACATGTCACTGCAGGTATGCACTAGGTACTGGGGAAAAGATTAAAAATAGAAAGTTAGAAAGAGATTGTGCAAACACTCTTCCATTTGGCATAAAGCTTACATTTACTTATTCACTATTAAATCCAGGGGTAGCATTATGCTGTAGCATCCAGAAAGGGAAACATCAAAAGGTGACACTAAGTAAAGTGGTAATCTGTTTCATAATATTTCAACGATCTTTATATTAGCATTGAGTTGTGCTGGGTTTTATGTTGGCTTTGGTTTGTTTTAACTAAGTACCACAGCCTTATTCTTTAAATTTTCCTTCTTAAAATTCAGGAACATATTAGATTCATTACCACGTTAGGTAAAACTCCACCACATACTTCAGGAAAAAAAAGGACACAAAACAGTCTTCAGAACTAGATTGTACAACTCTACAGTTTTGATAGCACTCTTACGAGTTCTTTGTAGATGAAAACCTTAGGGCAATAACTGAAATGGATTAGAAATCTGCCCTAAATTTGTATGAACTATAAAAAGATTGTATTACATGCTTCTGTTGGGCATACTGTTCCACACATGTCAGGCAAAGAAACATCACCTTCTTCAGACACTGTGCATAATCATTGGCTATTTAATAAACAAAAGGGTTAGCACCAATAGTCCCAATGGTTAACAGAGCCAGAAGTGGTAATCAAACCTTTAATGTTATACAAGGTTACCATAGGAAAACACTAATAAAAGTCCATACCATAACTCAAATCTTCAATGCACCAGCTAGTGAAATTTCTGTTAGATTTTTCAAATACAGGTAGAAGTCAAGAGCCCTTAAAAATGCAGAAATCAACTTTACCACATACCATCAGATCTCCAATATTTTTATATGTTCTGCCATACCAGACACTTGTAGCTTTAGAGAAATATCTTCTGTTCAGGAGATTTAGAATAGTAGATATTTAAATGAATAAACTCAAGTGCGACAGAGGAAAATTAATTAATAAGTAATTTATTGTAGGAACCTAATCTTTATAAAAATATTCCCCAAATCAATTATTGTCTCAAAAAAGACCAATAGTAGCACAAATGGAAATAGAGGCTTAGCAAGATTTGATTTATCCTAATGTTCTCCAAGTTAAATTCCCTGTTCTCTTTTTATTACTTTATGAAACAGAATTTCCATGCAATTACCTTTTATCTGAAAAATATTAATTTCTGTTTCTATAATGTACACTTGAATTAAAACCAGTGCCTACTTTTCCCTTTGTCTTAATTTGATACAAGCAATATATCTTAGTGGGATGCCTATCTAAAGCTATTTTAGAGTGTAAACAAAAAGCATTACCAGTGTTGACAACCTTACACTTCCACAACTTGAGCAAGAACCTCAAGCTCTTCAGATTGCCTGAAGTTTCCCCACCCCACAGTGTGTTCATCTTCTGTTTCTGCATTTTTCATTACACTTGAATTACTTTTTAAAGCTTTCCTTTCTGATATAAGGAACTAAAAAAGGATTTTTTTTAACCTGAAATACAGAAATTACATTGGAACCTGAAATCTTTTTGATTTCTTTCTAAAGATATTAATTCTACTCTCTGTTGCCTTTTTTATTATGCATTGATACAACTTAAATATACCTGCCTAAGCAAAGATTTGATTGTAATTTTGCCATTAAGATCCTCTCTGGAAGACATACCACAGTTTTTACATATTTTGAGAACCATAAAAGTAGTATATATAATAAATACAAGTACAAACAAAATAGGCATATCTTTTTAAAAGGCAGACATTGCCAAATCATTGTAGAAGAATTTAAGAGCACTCATTATTGCAACTCAAAAACATAATACAATGAAGAGTCAAAATAAAGTCTGAGTGACAATTATTCTGTATCATTCCTTCTTCTGTGTTTTGAAGGACTGATTGTATGAAAAAGAAAGTGGAGATAAGATTCTCAGCATATGAATTTGTAATGTCAGAAATCCTAGTTGCAGCAAGTTCTGAAAATAAATGCATCATAGACATGACCTTTCTCATGATCCATCAGCTTAGATGAAGATAGGGTGGGGGTATAATCATACCAAGGGAGCTTCTGGAAGATTCAGACAAATGAAACAGAACCAAAATACTAAAGGCATAGTATTCCTGAAATCTGTCTAAAAAACACACACACACCAATTGCATATGTATGTCGGGAGTTCAAACAGCTTTTCAAAATGAAAACAACAGATGTGACTTAAAAATGGAATCTTACCTTTCTGCCTCTTCACTTGGGGAATATTGCTGATTGTGGTTGCCTGAACTATTTCCACTACAATTTGATACCTAATTTTAAAAAAAGTAGGGAATAAGGGTGAAGAAGGGGAAGAGAAGAAAAAGAAAACATGGTATTAATTCTTTACAATGTGTTCTTCATACAGCACACTTAAGAAGTAATAAAAATCAAAACACATCTACTTCTTCCTCACCTGGTAACAGAATAATTTCTCAGTATACCTGCAAACCAAGGAGCAGTGTGCACATGGAGAAAGGAAAACAGACTATTCTGAAACAAAAAGGAAACATCCAACTAACATAAATACTGCCCTCTTCGCTCAACTGATGGCACTGCATAGACAGGTAACATTCAGTAAACACAATATATAGTCACACGCTAAACATTAGATATAAATTTTCTGTAGGAAACTAGGATGGTAGTTCGGTTTAAAAGGAAAACGCTGTCTCTAAGATTCTTCCAGCTAATCTATTCAATACCTATATGGAGCATATATACATTCAGAGAAGAAAAAAGTTACACTAAAATATGTAAAATATCAAAGTACTGCACTCCAGGAATAATTAAAACATGTGTATCACCTAAAACTATACTATGTAATAGTAGACAGTTCATGTAGCTAGAAAAATGAATTTTAAGTAAAACTGATTTTGTAACTCATGGATACAATGCATTCAGCAAAGAAAATTACTGTCAGTTAAAACTTTTATAAATGTCAAAGTTCTGATCATAATACTCAAATTCCTCTCAGTTCACTTACTTTGGTAGCTATTAATACTGGTAAAAAAGCAAGTATTCCAGTGAATTTGCTATCTAACAAGTTAACCCATAGATGAAAGCTGAAGCCTCCAGGAAAGGCTGCTATTTCTGTGACTACTTATTCTCCATTTAAGGAAGAACATGTGCTCCTTAAAACTTCTTTCATGTAACCTTTTTTCACCAACATCACTCAATCCCCTCCATTTCTCTTGCCTCCTATAACTCATTTAGGATTTTGATTATCTCAGGCGCGTTGTATGGACACAGTTTTACATACAAAGCATACACTCACAACTACACTCCCAGATGGCTCTTTTTATGCAGCAATCTTTAGTCTACCCAAATTCTTCAATTTTCAAATTGAAACCTGAAAACCTGTTATTTTTCTAATACTATTTCCTTTTGCCATTACCCTATTTTGATTGTTTCCATCCACACCATAACAGCTCTTGCCCAGTCTGTCAGAGAAACAACAGCCCCACAATAAGGGTGGTATTGTGGTGCATAAGAAGTCCCACAGCTAACTCCCCACTCAGACAGAGACTTCCCAAATTATCAGCATGATAAACTGGACCCTTCACAGCCTAACATCCACATTACTTCCTTCTTCCCTATTCTCTGTTACATTCATGCACTTCTCTCATTTCTTAAGTAAAAGATGATAAAGGGCCAGTAAGCAATGGTCTTTCTTAGCACGAATTGTGTAATAGCCTTTTGATGATGTAATAATAAATATCAGAATAAATACAATGCTGATCCTGAAAGTGGAATAAAAACGATCCACCAGTTTATTACTTTATCACTATTTGTTCTCAACTATGTTTTTAACTCAGCATGTCATTTATCTTCAGTTGTCTTCTGAGAGAGAAAGTAAATGTGTCACATCTGCTGTGAAAGAATTCATCTTTCCTTCCTCATTTGTAGCAGAATTCCAATTAATCCATGCTAACTTCAGTCTGAGGGGAAATGAAGGTGAAATTTCACTGTTTAACTTTTTCTTCTTGAAAGACATAGGGACAACACACTTTGTGTAAACTTGATAATACAGGAATAAAAGTCTGCCTCCCTTCATGACAAGCATCAAAGAAATGAAACATAATAGAGTGAGTCTGAAGGACGTTTGCAGACAACCATACAATGAACCCTTCTGTGAAAGCTTCACTGCTTTGTTTTTCTCATCCCATTCCCCCCAACAAATTCAAGTTATTTGAAGGTAAAGGTATGACAGGAAAAAAAAAGAAACAAACAAAACAACCCCAAAATGGTTCCTCAGAAGTCAAGAAGAAAGCAAATTCCTTTCTATGAAAACATCAGTTCCCCCAATTTCCCTACAAAAATCAAAGGTATATTTCCACACAAACAACAGTGAAGTTCTAAGAGATTAAGTATCCAAATGTTAGATTCTAAAAACCTATGAATCCTAAAGTATCCCCAAAATTAATAGTAATTCTTGCATCATTTAAATGCATTCTAAGAATAAAATCCATGAAAGCAATGCAGAAAATCAATACAGTATTTCTTCTTAACATAATGCTTCTAAGCTAGGAAAAAAGCAAGATTTAGAAAATCCCAGCACCATTATTATCCTTCCAGGGAGAGCTGTTCGCACAGCAGAGAGCTTTGCACTTGCTTACAAGGAGACCCACACAGCCTCAGCTTTTCTGACATCCTGATTCACACACACCCTTCACCTGCAGGCTTCCACTGAATCAGCCAGGGGTTTTCCCAGCCTTCTCCACCACAAATACCTGCCTATAATCACAAGAAAGCAAAACTCTGTTCATTAAATCTGGAAGGATGCCAATGCCTTATCAGCCTTCCCTCCTGTACTGGGACATGCATACATCAAGGAGCACCCAGGAGTCCATGCCTACTTGACTGTGGTCAGTCAACAGTCTGAGGATATGTTTATCAGTGTCTCACGGCCTCTTGAATTCCGGCAAGGTATTTTATCTTTGTTTTATTAAATAAATTTAAATTTTTATTTAAAAAAAATAAATATTAGATAATAATCATTCCACAAAATATAAGCATGATAGGAAAGTTTTATAAAAAATAATGAGCTTCCCAGCAACTGCAGTGCCTTGGGATAAATTTCTCTCAAAGCTAAGCCTACACTGAAAATTGGTGCTGCTTGAATCTGTTCCTAACCAAGATGTTAAGTGGCAACATTAAAAGTAACAGGAGGAGGCTTAGAGTTCATGAATGCTATGTACTGTCTTAGAACAGACACTGAAAATTAGTTCCAAATAAAACCAAGAAAAGGAATTCTTGATGAGCATAATATTATTACCCAGAATAGCACATAGCTAGGAAAATCTGTTTCAGTAAAACATGCCCGTAATTTATTTGTTGTAAGAGAACTGGAAGCATTTTCCCCGCTCCCATCACTCCAACAGACCCTTACTGTGCTTCTCAGCGATAACTGCACAACAGCTCATTTGTTTCTTCCTCTTTAACTCCTTCTTTACGGATTTCCCCTCTGGATCACTGTTATGAATCACAACTAAGTACCACCCCTTTTTTTTTAAATCCATATAAGGATTACTGTTCAGTTTTCTTAATGCAAATCTGTAAACCTTCACTGATTAATCATGAAAGCTTTGCCAAATACACAAATCTGAGGTGACTAGAGGTTGGCCCATCTCTCTGAGGGTGTTCCCCACAGTGCTGGAGCACAAAGAGAACGGGAATGCCTTCTCCCACAGGAAATGCCCTTTAACTACCATCCCAAAGACTGGCTCTGTACAGAGAAAGGAAGAACACTGCCTCCAAAATGAAATACTATTTCTCATCAAAAAGATTATGCATTTTCTCAGACATTTTTCACTGAAATACTGATCAGCTCAGACTGACCAACACATTGTAGGGTGTAAAGGAACACATTTCAAGATGATGACAGTTGGACTTCACAGACAAGAAAAGAAAAACGTAGATGCAGCCAAAAACACATTGTTTCATAAAGCAAATCTGCTCTCTGGTATTAAAGCACACAATTTAAAGTGACCTAGCAGCTAAAAAGAGAACACACTGAGCATTGATGTGCTTGAACAACAACAACAACAACATAAGAGTTGGGTTTCTTTTAAAACAAACAGATCCATTAGTGTGATTATGCTAATAAATATGTCAATTAGGTTTTAGGCAGAGTCTAATAGGGACTAATTTCTGCTCTCAGGAAAGGCACACTGTAAAGAGCAAATTTTACAGCATATGAGCAATAAGTAGCCAAGCAACAGAATCATTTCACCATCACCTAAATGCATTTTCCTATCTCAGAAATACAAGTGGTTTTAGAATCAAAGAGAAGAACAAGAGAAAGTAGAATGTTATTTGTGCAGCCCACATACTCCATCCCAGTAAGCCAACTCTTGGCCTCATCAGGCCAAGTCTAATAGAAGTTCAGGGTCACAAGAGATTACACAGAATGCACCAAATGTAAGCAATATGCATGTGTATTTTGGATGCTGCTGCAGCCATTTGAGAAGAGAAAAAGCTGTCCTGCAGCAGCAACAGAGAAGAGTTGGGAAGAGGAAAAACTATCAGTTCTGGCTGGTGATAAGAGATTAGGACAAACACTCTATAAATGGCTTCAGGAGGTCTCCAAACTTTGCTCTGCTCAACGAAACCAACTCAAGGACATCTAGGAAGGTCCTACAACGGTAATATCTCTGTTCCCTGCTTCCCAGTCAGTTGCTCCTTGTCCTTTCACATAAATCAGTGGAGAAACAGCTCATCTATAAAGATAAGGCAAGCATAAACAACTGGCTCTTGGGCAAGAAGGCTTGAGATGCAGGCAATAGCTCATATTAAGAGGAATGATGTAAGGAGAAAGAGATGAGACAGGGAGTACAATTAGTATGAAAGTGAGCTGGTGCTGTTTGCATTGTAAAACAGGAGCATCAAACAACCTCATGGTATGCAGGAGCTCAGTGATGTTTTTTTTTTTTTGTTCTAACAAATACTGTAGAGTTCATTAACATGGTTAAGAAGGTTGCAGTTGGGTAACACCTCCCTGCAATGGTCCAGGAAAACTCACATCCAGTGGTAAAACGTGCTGGAACTCAAAGCCCTCTTTCCATGCCACAGTCACAGTGAGCTGTTCTGAATGCTCAGTATCCCTGAGGTCACTATGGCTCGCAGTCCCCAGACACCATGGTCAGTCATAACTCATAAGGATAATGAGGAGAAAACATCACACCCACACTAGTGGAAATTCAACATATTTCATCTAACTGCACAAAGGCAAGCTGTAAAGAAGATTCCAGTATGTCTTTCATACATTTCAAACATTTACCCCTTTCAACAGTATAGCCATCTCCAGTACACTACTAAGCAGAATTTTTATGCATTTTTCCCTTCCACTTAGCTAAAATGCTGGTTACATTAGATATCTAACAAATGTTGTAGCTTATCATCCTTACTGTCTCTGCTTCACCAAACAAAAAGAAATCTGAAATTAAATTTAAAAAGAAAAATCACAATTCATTCAAATCTTAGTAATGGGCTGGGATAAAATGTATGTTTAGTTTTGAAAGAGCCACAGTGAAACATTAAATACCTCAGTTGTTTCAGGAACTCAACATCCGAGCTGCTGTTAATGAGCTTGATGAACTCCTCGTAAGAAGGAGCATATGTGTAGTCTTTCTTCTGATGCTCATTCATCTGTTCTCTGTACTCCAGCTGGCTGAGTAGCATTCGGTTAATATAATCTGGATCACTCAGCAGTTCCACCACTGGTTTCAGTACTGGCGAGGAAAAATATTTTAAAACAAAATCCTTATGCTGAATAATAACTGCTGTCTTGCAAATGAAAACTGCTGATAAAAGGCAAAAATAAATATGCAAGTTTACAAAAATCAAAAAATCCAAAACCAGTCTTCTGGACCACACAGTACATTTGAGACTATATATACCATCTTCATAAAAGCTGGTTATTCTATTACAGTAATTGATGTACATTGACAAAGCTGAGTTTTATTTGGAAAATGCCAGGTGTTTTTGTTCTTTGTGCTGTGTGCTTTGAAGGCTATGATACTATAGCCAGTATAAATGAAAATTGAAAGCAAACTGAATTGCGCAATATACTTGAGACTCCATAATTTCTGAATTTGACAGTGACATAAAAAATGTGTACCGTATTCAAAGTGTAGCTGATAAAATAAAAAGCACAATAGAAATCCCTCAATTTTAAAAAAACACACTGGATAAATCAAAGCATAAAATAATGAATTAAATATTATATAGTGATTCAGTTATAGAATCCACTGATTTAAGGATGTGTTCATGTATTTGAATAAAATAGAAAAGGTCAGAATTATTCATACAATCACTATAAATAATGCCAAAGAAAGCTGCAAAAGTATTGCTCTATGAAAAAATAGAGGACAAATTGTATTTTATCCTGAAATGTGATAAACAGTCTGGCATCAAGTCATAAGAGTTAGCGAAGTATATGCTTGATTTTGTGAATACAGTGCCTTGCTGGCTATCACAGAAATTAAATTTCAGAATATAAAAGCAGAGCATCAAGACTTATACATAATAAAGTTTTTAACTGCTAATACTGTGCACGTACAAATGGTTGATCATCTCTGATCTTTGATCTACCTTTTGTTGCAAGTATTTCTGCAAGGACTATGCGCAAGCTGACAGACTGGACATCCTTTGAGGGTAGGAGACAATACACCAGAACCTGAGAACATTTTTGCAGGAATCTTACTTCTTCATCAGAGCTCCTCAAGCATGAGTGCAGCAAAAAGGGTCTTGGTGGATCTTCCTGCCTAGAGGGAGAAAAATTTTTAAAGAAAAAGAAATGAAGGAAAGAAGAAAGAGAACTTACATACCATTTGTATCATAAGTCATCTATGACCATCAGTCACCAGTTGATCAAATGCTGCAGCATGAGCACTGTGTGGGTGCTGTGCGCCGCTGAACACACACAGCAACATGCTGCTGGCTGAGAAAGACCATGATAGCACACTGTGTTGTTTGCAGACTCCTTACAAACAGGTTTCTGGATGACAGCTCTAAAGAAACAGGGAGCAAGTCTCCCTCACCTCGATTCTTTGCCCAGTACTGTCTAGTTTATCTCCTTGCAGGTACCAGAACATGTTTGACTCAACTACTCAACTCCAGGTCACCCACCACTGCACCTTTTCTTTATACAAAAACAGCTGTAGAAACAGACACAAGGTACCCTGGCAGGTTTTTTATGGCCACATGCCTGATGTGCTCCAAGCAATTTTAGCAGCAAGGTGACCAAGCCAGTGGGTCAAGACAGACAGACACAGTGCCGCCTGAGAGGCACCACAGTAATTTACCAAGGCAGCAAAGACTGATTGTCAGTAGAAGGCTCTAGGATGCTACAAGTGTTTGGATCTATCACATCTCATACCAGTACCTCCTCCAATTTTCCATAACTTGCTTTCCACAAGAAACTTTCCATAATTTGCTTGCTTCCCAGAGCTGGAAGTTGTTGTTCTGGTTAGGTTAGGTTGCTAGTTGTACTAGTCAACCGACTTAGTCACAAAGCTGCTCCAAACCCACTGCCTCTGTGTATGGAAAAAGTGACAAAGAACTGTATACAGTCAAACCAAAAGCTTTCAGTTAGGCACCACTACACAGCCAACAGAGACAGACAGCACTGTATAACTACTAATTTTTGCTAGTCGGTCCAGGAGGATGAAAATACAATGGAGCAGTAACAATAAAAAAGACTCTAATTTTGTTCTAATAATACAATAATTTGTTTTAAGGTGGCTAAAATTAATTTTACAACTAATTTTTAGAAAAACAAATATAATGATGGCACTTGAGTTTGACTTCACTAAAGCCTCTAACTCAATCACAAATCAACTGTTTTGTTTGCAAACTTGGATCATGAAGAGAGTTGCAATTGTTTCAGTTGTTATAGGTAAGACAAATTTCAAAACAAGTCCCTTGGAACAACTTGGATGTAAATACTCTGTTCTTAGGAGCATCTTTATAAAGATGATGTGCAATCTTCATTATCAACCAGTCCAGGTGGTGCAGCTGACTGAGATCAGAAAGCTGTTTATCTTGTTCTGGTAGGATCTTTTCTCAGTGGCAGCTGAACACAAAGCTATTTTCCTCAGAGCATTTCTATTCCTCTCATGCACTCCAGACATATCCTGAAGCCTCCTCTACCCCACATCAAACATTGCCCATCATGTTCTCTCCTAAAGGCATTCATTATTTATCCAAAACCATACATGTGCCAGGCAGATTACTGACAGACAAAGTCTGAGTCATTTACCTACAGCCACCTCTTATGGTGGAAGTAAAGTCTGCCAGACAGGTTGGTCCACCCAAAGTCAGCCAAGACTGAAGCACAAGCAAAAGTCTGGCAAACAGGATGACTCTCGGTGAACATGGAATCATTGAGGTTAAAAAAGTCCTTTTAGATCCATTAACACAGCACTGTCATGTCCACTACTAAACCACATCCTTAAGTGCCACATCTACATGGATTTTTAACACTTCCAGGGACAGTGATTTCACCACTTCCCTAGACAGCCTACTTCAATACTTGACCATTGTCTCAGTGAAATTTTTTTTCCTAAAGATGTAAACCTCCCCTGGCACAACTTGAGGCCAGTTTCTCTTATCCTGTTGCTTGTTACCTGGGAGAGGACAGACCCCCATCTGGCTACAACCTCCTTTCAGGCAGTTGTAGAGAGCAATAAGGTCTGACCCTCCTCCAAACCAAAATACCCCCAGCTCCCTCAGCCACACCTCTCAAGTCCCGTGCTCCAGACCCTTCCCCAGTTTTGTTGCCCATCTCAAGGCATGCTCCAGCACTTCCATGTCTTTCTTGCAGTGAAGGCCCCAAAACTAAACCCAGAATCTGAGGTACAGCCTCACCAGTGCCAAGTACAGGGCTCATGATTTGTGTATTAACAACAATAATACAGAATTAGAACTAAACTTTTTGGCCTGTGAACAAACCCAATCTTTTTTTGGACACTCTTACCTTATTTCTGGGACATCTTGCATAGTGATTAGATCAAGATATACTTGCATAACATGTGCAAAGCATGAAACAGAACCATAATGCACATAAAATTTCACTGAACTGAAATTAGCCTCCTTTGTCTTCAATATCTCTCTGCAGCTCTCCTGAGGAATGCCAGTCTGTTTGAGGCTGCAAACACACTGGAGCATTAACGATACCTACAGTATCACCCATGCAAGAAAAGTCTGTCTTCCTATTGTAAAAATTTATTCCCAGTTAAGAGCCAACAGCTTTACTGAGCTGGACCTGTGCCAGGATTTTTCTGACACACAGTCAACAGAACACAAATAGAAAATGGAATAAACAAGCACATGGGTAAATATTTGGTTCTTACTCTTCTAATTTGTCTAATGTGTTCCTGCCTACAGGAACGCAAGGGAGGGTAAAGTTGCCTACTTTTCACCTTACAGGCCATTTAAAAAAGTTTTGTTTTTTTCTTAGAGTTTTCTCCATTACCTAAGAATATATGACTCTAGAACTGGGCTTTTCTCTAGGGTAGATTTTTCCAGCCAAACTATACCTACTCGTGATCTAAAAAGCAAAAGGAAAGATATTTATGAAAATAACAGAGAAACAAAGTCTTCAGGAAATTCAACTCTGAACAAGCCTTTTCCGTCAGCACCAAACAGTTTTGTCAACAAAGCCTGCAGCAGGCATCACTGCTGGGCAAGAGAAATGAAAGAAAGACTAAAAGCAGGAGAGGAAGCTTGAGGAGAAGTTTAACAGCAACAGAATAAATCAACATGCCAACGATAAAACAGGCAAGACAAAATATGCAAGTTTATATTCTACTTTGCATGTACACAGGAAGCACTACACGTCTATTTGTCTCAACTACTACCATTGACCAGCTTGCACTAAAAGAATGTGTGTGAACAAATGGATGGCCAGTAAACAGCCACCCTTTTAACCGAGACTTCTCCTTCACAGATCCTCACACAAAAAGAGAGCAGAGAGCAGTCACAGTAGTATTAAAATCGCTGCTCAACTACCAAGTCATGTCTGTTTACTACCTTGGAGCAGGAGCTAAGATGTCCTATCAGGCATATTCTTAAGGCTTGATATAAAACCTGGATCTTCAACTCTGTGGGAATGTGACACTGTTCATTTTGCAGAGATCAACAGGAAATGCAGAAACTTACATGCAATCTGCATGCATGTACACAAAGCAGAGTGCTGCTACATTTCTCCATTTTCAATAAAGATATTAAGCCTATTAAATAACCCAAATGGTAATATAGATATTATTTCTCTTCCTAGCTAATTCTGCACAAGTATTATTAGGACTGTGTGGTTGGATTTTCCAAACGAACAGTCCCTTAGTAATCACAGAAAGATCTGAACTAAAACCGTGTACAGATATTTTTAGATAGAGCTTTAAAAGCACAGTCAATTTGCCATAAATTCTGAGTACAACTGTGTGCAGTGAACTAATATAAATGTGGCACTTTAGCAAACAGTTCCAAAACAAGCATGATACAAGCTCTGTAAACCAGGCTCATTTAACCTTTAGACAATACTCAAATTAAGTGGCAACTTAATTCATTTGTGTCTTCTTGAACTGTGAAAACTGAAGTAATAATGACAATAGTGGTCTATCAAGATGCAAGTGACTTCAGTGATTTAAAACAGCAGATAGAACACATATTCCATACAGTATGTTTACAGGTCATATCCATCTTCCCTCCCCAAGCTACAAAGCCAGCGTTAACCTTGCCCAAATTCCTTTTCTGTAATTCTATTAAAAGCCTGCTTTCAATTTTCAACGCTATCCAGTACTTTCTATATAGTGTCAGAAAGCGAATTTCCTTCAGCTGCCCCTCAAAGCACTGGAAGATTAAGCAGCAGAGTACAAATACAGATCCATAGATAGGGCCTGCCAAAGTGAATTCCTTTGTACCAGATCTGTTCCAGGCTCTACTTTGGTTTGGTAACAAACTGACACCTACTGTAACTATCACCCGCTCTGAGGCTGCTTTGCACAATTACTGCCTGCGTATCCCACTGAATGTCATCGATGTTAAGACTTTACCCCTTACTGCTTCAAACCTACAGCTCATCCAGCACTCTATAGGAAAGCAGAAGAGAGGATTTGCTGAGGCATTACAAAAGATGAGCAGTTAAAACATTACCAGGGTAATAGAAATATTATCATAACAAAATCCTGAGCCAATATCAACATCTTCTTAACAATACTTTGTTTCTCAGGAATGCAGAATCTATGGCTGTTCCATAAGACAGGACTATCCCCTGGGCTTCCAGATTTCCCAATACCAGGACCTCATGGAAATCTTTTTTTTTCCCAGAGGACCTACTCTAGATATCCACATTTTTGACTACAGTCATCTGTCTCTATTAAAAGGACTAATAACAGTCAAGGGTATTAAGACCTGGTATTTGTGGTTGGATAAATGCTCCTGATGCAAAACATCTTTGACAAACCTAGGTCAGTTTGCTTTGAAATTACTAAGTAAGCAAATCATACACACCACCCACCCCTCTCCCCTCTTAAAAAACCCAAACCAAACTGAACAAAACCCCATGCCCTCCAAAAAACCAGCCAACCAACAAAAAAAAAGGGTCTTTAAAAAAATTAACAACTCCTCTATAGGAAATTGCTTAAGGGATGGATAGATGGATAGATGGATGGATAGATGGATGGATAGATGGATGGATGGATGGATGGATGGATAGATAGATAGATAGATAGATAGATAGATAGATAGATAGATAGATAGATAGATA